ATTGATAATAACACCGGGAATGATAAGTTTGATAATCAAATTTATATGCTTCTATATCTGTATACATATTTTGAAATTATTTTTTTAATAATTTTTTTTTCTTTTTTTATGCAGGTGTAATCAAAAAGATATTACATTGGTATATTCTATAATTAGAAATATTAATTAATTTAAAATTGAAAGTTTCATCTTACTAATAATCCATTATTAATACATATTTGCTTGCTTTTTGTTTTCATCAAATAATTATTACATCAAATTAGAGACGAGAAGAGAGGAAAAAAGGAAAGGAAATTTTTTATGAAATTTAGTTTTAAATTTCTATTAAAACTAGTTAAATAATATAAAATGATAAAAATCAAATTTTTCTTTTTTTTTTTTGCTTTTCAAATTGTTTTCAAAGCAAATGTTTAGTAACTTTTACAGTAATTAATTAATTAATTAATTATTATGAATTAGTGCTATTAAATAAATTATCAAAAAATGCTACAAACTTACATGTGCATGTGATACTTGTAATAGTTGTGTGTACAGAGAGTTTCTTTCATCTTTAAAAACAGGTTTTTGTATTCCTAAATAAAATCTTTTGCACTTCGTCACTTTTATATAATTATTTATTTACTCATTTCTCAATGTGATCATACTGCTTTGCTTTTTTTTTTTTATTTATTTTTACTTTCTAAAAATGTTATCAAAAAATTTTTCTTTCACTTTTTTTTCATTTCTTTTTTTTTTTTTTATTCCGATTTTTGTCGATTGATAATAAAAAAAGAAAAGTGCATGTAGTAATCCGGAAGAAAATAATTCGATAGAATGTTTGCATCTATGATTTATATATTTATTTATATGTGTTTATATATATTTTCCTTTTTAAAAAAAAAAAAAAAAATTGAAATCGGGAACAGGGCGGAGTAGAAGAATGAAAGATGAATTAATGGTGAATAGCGGAAGAAGGAAGGAAAAACTGGAGAAGAAGGTGGGTGGCAGAAGAGCGGATTTTAATATGGAAAGGGTTGAAAAAAAAATATATGAAATTTTTGTGATGGATTCTATCGACCTACAAGAGAGTAATGAAATCATGCGGTGTGCTGTGCTGTGGTGCGGTGCGCGGTGCGGTGCGGTGCGGTGCGGTGTGATGCGGTACGGTGCGGTGCGGCATAATTCGGAGCGGAGTGTAGTATGGTATGGTGAGGGAGATAGTTTGGTAGTTATTGATGCTTCTTGCTTCTTATTATTGGGTTTAATTCTAATTTTGGATGTCACCTATATATGTATTTCTTTTTTTTTAAACAAGTAGTAAATAATTGAAACTTTAATAACAGTTAAAAAATTTTTTTTCTGTAATTTTATTTTAGTAAATAATAAAAATCAAAATTTGATTATATTATAGCTTGCTTGTTATTATTGGGTGTATTCCTAATTTTGAATGTCACCTATTATATAAATTTTTTTCTACTTAAACAAGCAATAAATAATTGAAATTTTAACAACATTAAAAAAATTTTTTTTTCTGTAATTTTATTTTAATGAATAAGAAAAATAAAATTTTAATTAAATTATAATTTAATTTTTACTTTTTTTTTAAAAAAAAAAGTTATGTATTTGTCTGAAGTATTCGTATTTAAAAATGAAAGTTTAATTAATTAATTTTCCTTTCTTATTTTAATTTTTTCTTTCATTCTTTTACAGTCTTCTTTTATTGATGTAAGCAGTATTTAAAGTAAAAAAAAAAACAAAGAGCAAAACGACAATTAATTAGCTTATAAGAATGAAAATTATAAATACACTTCTTTTTTTCTCTTTCCCTCTCTCTTCTACTCTCTCTCTCTCTCTATTTTATATTTTGTTCATTTTAATTCTTTTTAAGAAATTAATTTGTCGTACAATTGTCGTTTATACTTCAAAACAAAATGTTTTTTTTTTTTCTCTAACCAAAATTTGTTTGCATTAATTTTTAAAATTTTTATTTTCTAAAAAAAAAAAAATATTTTTGATGATTTATCATTATTAATTAAATAATAATATTTTATGCATTAAAAGAATTTAAAAAAGAAAACATTTAATACTTTTTTTAAGTAAGTAATTTTCCTTTTTTTTTTTTTTTTTTGTGAAATGAAAATTTTTTTTTTGTCTTTTTTTAAATATTTCTTTTTTCTTTTTTTTTAAAGAGAAAAGTATATTGTTAAAATTTTAAAAACGACGTTTAAATAGAATATTATGATAATATTTAGCAAAGTAAAGAAAAAAAAAACATAAACAGAGAGAGAGAGAGGGAGAGAGAGAGATGGAAGAAGAAGAAAAGATTGTTCAAAGGTTAAATGAAAGAAAATTTTTCATTGCGAACAATTATGGGCGCAAATAATCAGAAATAAAGCAAAAAAAAAAAAAAAGTCGAAGAAAAGTATATGAAAGGACAAAAGGCTTTTCTATTTGTTTTCAATTTTCTTTTTTTTTTTTTTTTGCATATTCAAATTTATATATTAATAAGAAGAAAGAATTAAAATAATACAAAAATAAAATTAAGAAAATAAATTTTTCTTTTTGTTTTCTCTCTTTAACGATTTTTGTAAATAATATTAACTAACATATTATATAGTAAGTGTATATGTTTAATTCTCTCAATTGATAATTTAAAAGGGAAAGAAAATTTTTCAAATTTTTACTAAAAAATTATTATAATAGAGAGTGGTGCGTAAAAGATATGTAATTTTTTACAGAAATGTTATTTGAAATAGAAAATATGGGAATAATAATAAATGATAATAAATAATGATAAGTGATAATAATAATGATAAATGATAATGATAATGAATGATAATAATAGTAATTAATAATAATATGTGATATTGATGGATTAAGAAGATAGTAGAAAAGGTTAAAATGAAATGAAGTGAGAGAGAATTTCGCAGTTGGAAATGAGACTGATGGAGAGGGAGAGAGAGAGAGAGAGGGAGGGAGAGAGAGAGAGAGATGGGTGGATGGATGGAAATGAAGTGATATATTTCATAAAAAGTTATATCCTAGTAGATTAAAACATTTTGTTAAGTTACGGCGGACACACACAATGTTACTGATATTTTCAATTCGATCATATCAATCAATCAATTAATCAATCAATCATTCAATCAATTGATCGGTCCTAATAACCATAGTTGTTATTAGCACAAACAGTTAAGCAAAAGAATTTGAAAGAAAGTGTTAATACCATTGTTCCCTCCTTTCTCACCCTCTCTCTCTCTCTCTCTCTGTCTTTCTACCCCTCTCTGGGGTGTTTTATTTTATCTTAATGATTTCATACAATGTTTAGTAAAATTAATTAGAATTAATAATGAAAAAGTTTCGTGTTTTCTCTTCCTTTTCCCTCCGATTATTGTCTTCAATCTCTCTTTCTGTATTTAAAGTGCTGAATTACTACCATATATCACCTTTCCCCTTCTCTCTCTCTCTCTCCCTCTCGTAATAATAATAATTATTACTATTATAATAATGATTATTTTAGTTGTTAATTATCAGTAATTATTATATAATTTAACAAAAAAAAACTATTAATTATTCAATACGTCAATTTGTTATTTTCGTTTTTCAATTTTTTTTTCCCTCTCCCTCTCCCCCTCTCTCTCTCTCACTCTCTCTCTCTCTGTCTTTTTCAATTTTTCAGTGTCAGAAAGAGAAAAAAAAAAAATGAAAAAAACCTGAAAATGACATTTTGAAGTGTAACGTTGTCATTGTATTTCATCAAAGGAACATTTTTCGACGAAAAAAAAAAAAAATAAAAAATATTTTTTGTTATATTGTATTTACTGAAAAGAGTTTTAACGAAAGGAAAAGAAAAAAAATAAAAATAAAAAGGGAAAAAGACAAAATGGGTGGGTGGGTAACTAATTTTGTGATAGTAAATAAGATAAGTTAGATAAAAAAGTTTTTAATTATTTTATAAAGAAAATTTCCTCTTTCAAAAAATTTTTTTTTTTTTTTTTTCATTATTTGTTGTAGAAAAGTGAATGGTTAACAAAAATTTTTGTTGATAATTTCATGTGATTAGCATATGAAATATCCAAATTATTACATTTTTATATCAAATTTATTTGAATAATAATAATAAAGTAAGGGAGAGAGAGAGAGAGAGAGAGAGAGAGAGAGAGAGGGAGAGGGAGAAAAAAAAGTTAAAGCTAATAATTAATATTTTCAAATAATTATGTTTTATCGTTTCTTTCTTTTTTATGTCTTTTAAACTTTTAATTTACTATTTTTTTTTTTTTTTTTAGTAGTATTTTTTAAATAATATTTAATTAATAATTTGTTTGATCAAATAAAATTTATTATTTAATAATAAGTTTTTTGAAAAAGAAAGAAAAAAAATTGATGATTTTAGAATAAATATTTTCAGTGTTAATGTTTTTTTTTTTTTTTTTTAAGCCTCTTTCCCTGTCTTTTTATGAATTATTTATATGATTTGTTAAATATTTTGATAAATTAAAAGTAATTCATTTTTGGCTAACTTTATCCTTTGGTAATATAAATAATTATATTTAAATATTACTATATATTTTGAAAAATACAGGAAAAAAAAGCTATAAAATTAAGCTTTTTGTTGTTCAAAAAAAAATGTATATAGGAAAATTATGTATTATATTATTGTTTATTTTTTGTTTTTTAATAATCAAATGATAATAATGATAGAAATATATGTATTAAAAAAGAAAATGATATATCTTTTTTTTTTCTCAAATGATAAAGTGATAATAATGATAAATATATTTTTAATTATTTATTTCTTTTTTTTTAAAATGATGAAATGATAATGATAATAAATATATTTCTCTTTTTTTAATGATAAAATCATAGTAATGATAATAAATATATTTCCTTTTTTTTTTAAATGATAAAATGATAATAAATAATTTATATTTATTTATTTATTTTTTTTTTTTTTAGCATATAAAATGCCACCAATAGCTGCCGCACGATCTGGTCAAAATATTCGCCGTACATGTAAATTAATGAATGACATTTCAACTTCACCAACAACGGCAACTAAAATACCAGCAACAACAATAGCAGCAACAATAACAACAACAACAATAACAACTGCACCACCACCAACAACAACAACAACAACAGCAACAGTAGCAGCAAAAACAACAACAACGACAAAAGCATATGGTTCAGGTTAGATTTTGTTTTCTTTTTGTTTTTATTTTGTTTTGTTTGTTTGTTTTTTTACATTATTTAGCGAATTCAAATGAAATACTTTTATTTACGCATCAATTTTACGCGGATCAAATTAAAATCCTTTTTCCCTTTCTTTTTTCTTTTACGCTATTTTGAGAGATTTGATTGGAAATCATTTATTTTGCATCATTTTGATGAATTTAAAATTTAAAATTTCTGTTTATGCTATTTTACAGATTGAATTAAAATTCTTTTTTCTTAACGGTATTTTATAGATTTGAAGTATAAATTTTTTCTTTTTCCTTTTCACTTTTTTTTTGGCACTATTTTTTAGAGTATGAAGTAAATAAAGTTAGAAGTAATGTATGAATTATGAATTATTGTAAAATTTTTTTTTAATTAATTTATTGTAGTGTCACATTTGCGCTTGAATTAAATTAAAACACTAAAAAAGGAAAATCAGCAAACTATAAATGAAAATAAAAGATTATTGTTTTGATCATTATTTTTACTAGTTATAATCTCAAATTAAAATCTGAAAATATCATTCCTAGATATTATCAATTGTTAAATATTAAATTTGATTTGATATATTATAGCAAAAAGAAAAAACGAATTGCAAGTATAATTATTACTTATAATTTTGTTTGCATAATATTAAAAATTTATTTCATTAATTAACATTTAAACAATTAAAATTATTATATTTGCATTTGTCATCTTTAACTCTTTTTTAAATTGTATTTTAATAAAATTATATCTGTTCAATAATCACTGATAAAATTTATCATTGCATAATTTTAGCATCAATTCATACTTAAAGTATTTATTCGATGACATTATTAGTATTATAATAAATATGGAAATTAAAGAGAAAAGAAGTTGGAACAAAATAAAAAAGAAAAAAAAATGAAACCATTGTTATTTAAATTTTTTGTTTATTTAAATTATGTACAGAGATTGCTAGTGGGATCGGTGATTTTAACTAATATTTCAAAAAAAAAAAGATTTTTTTTTCCTTTGTTTATTTCCCAAACTACGAATTTTTATTAATGGTTAAAATAGACAAACTCTCATTTATATTATTTTTGTACAGTTAAATAAATAGACTAATTTGATAATTCATTATTCCTTACAACAAAAAAAATTTTTTTTAAGTTTTTTTTTTTTTTTTTTCGCATATTTAAAATTTTGCACAAATATAATTAAAAAATGAATGTTATTTGTTATCTTTGCTTACTGATAATATTCTCAAAATTTTGAAAAATTTGTTTCATTATTTGGTTTTTTTTTTTTTTTTTTTTTAATTATTTGATTAATTATAATTCAAAAAAAAAAAAAGATTTTGAATAAAATTGAAAGTAACAAAATTTTAGGAAAGAATGTGCAAAAAGTCATTTCATCACATTTAAAAAATTCAAGATTATATAAAACTGAGCTCTGTCGAACATGGGTGGATTGTGGACGATGTAATTATGGTGATAAGTAAGTTGTTTATTTATTTATTTATTTATTAGTTTTATTTACTACATGTATGTTATTTATTTATTTATTTGTTGGTTTTTATTTTTTTACAAAAAATTTTCTTTGTACATGTTTTTTTTTTTTATTATTATTATCAATATATTTTGTTTAATTTTAAATTATATTACAAATTTCCACTTTCTTTTTTCGGAGCTATGTTTTTCCTTCTTTTTTTTTTTTTTTTTTAAATCTTTTATAATTAATTCATATAAATGACATTTAGTTTTATTTATTTATTTAATTTTTGATTTGATAATTTAATTTATTTGCAAATTACTAAGCTTTTTAGTAAAATTTTGAACTATTGAAAGGTATTATCAAAGAATACATAAAATGATGTTGAAATGAAAATTTTGCAAATTTGAAGGTATGTGTGTGTGTGTTAGTACAGGTTTACAGATTACTCAATTTGATTTTTGACCTAGAATCATCGGAGGAACAAAAAATGTAAACAAATGAATTAAAATTTGACTTATGAAACCTTTTTTTTTTTTTTTTTTTTTTTTTTAAATGTACATTTATATGAGTTGAGTAAAAGATTGAAAAAAAAAAAAAAAAAAAGTTATACAAAATAAAAAGATTACAAATGGATGATAAAAGAGAGAGAGAGGGAGAGGGAGAGGGAAAGGAAGGAAGTTAAAAGAGAGATATCTCTCTCTCTCTCTTTTTAAAATAGATAATATTCGCTTATTTGAGGATTGTATTAACAGCTGTTTTGAGTGTTAGTTAAAATAAATGATTATGGTTGAGGTTTAATTTTAATTTTTTAAAATCATATCAAATTAAAAAAAAAAAAAAAAAGAGGAAATGAATGATATGATATGATATTGAGAAGATCAATGAAAACTTTTTGATAATAGTATTAAAATGGATGAAATAATTATAAAATAATTGTGAACATTTATTGATTTGATTGATTTTACATATATAAAATTTTACATATATATTAAAAAAAAATACATATATGTAACATTTTATGTAATTATAAGAAATTTTTGGATAGCAAAAGGAAAAAAAAAAATTGAAATCATTAATTATTAGAAAAAGATTTAAGCTAATATCTTTATTCCCTATAATATAGGAATGATAATAATAATTTTTCATTTTTTAATATTTATCTAAAATACACATAATTTTCACTTTTTTTCCTCATCTTTTGGTGATGAAAATTTGTTTGTTTGTTTGTTTGTTTGTTTGTTTCATTAATTAGCTGATAGGGAAATATTTAACTTACAAAATTTTCAAAATTATTAATTGAAGTTGTAAATAAACATTGTAAATTGGACATATTTTGTAGATAGGTATGAGAGGAAACAATTTTGCTTTTGTATTGAAAATAAATAATTTAATATATGTTTCTATGAAGTGTTGTAAGTTGTAAAATTTGATTGTTCTTTTGGTTTTATTTAAGAATATTTTTGGAATTTCAAATTTTATCTTTGATTCATCAATTAATTATAGTAATATACTGCATACACATTGGAAAGTTTAACAGAGGGACGAACTTATTTAATATTAATTTTTTATTCTTTTCCTTTTTCCATTTGTATATTATTTTTTTTTTTTGAGTTATTTAGTTATAATTTTTATTTTTGTTTTTTTAGTTATAAAAAGTTATTTAAACAATTATTTTGTAAGGAAAGATTATTCCTTCATGTTTGTTTCATTTCATTTCATTTTTCTTTTTTTTTTTTGGTTTATTTACACACATAGAAATAAATATTTAAATGATTTGATAAAAAAAAAAGCAACTACAATGGTTAATTAGTAAATAAACAATAAATATTTTATTAATGAGTAATTTATTTTATTTAATTATTTAAATTAGCTCTTGAAAAATATTTGATTATTTCGAATTTTTTTCTGGAAAATTATTCATTCTTGTTTTTTTCTTTCTTTTTCTTCTTTTACTTATCATTTAATATGGAATAGCAGAAATGAAATGAGATTTTACGGAAGATAGGTTAATAGTAGTAGTAACAGGTAAAAGAAGAAAGGTTAAAGGTTAAAGATTTGAGTCATTTCCGCTCCATTTTATTTCTCTTATCATTTCATATTTTATCAAATATTTTTCACAATTTAAGAAAGAGGGAACAAAAATCTGACTGTTATTTTTTATAAATAATAATAATGGTTAAAATAATGGAAAGAGAGAGAGAGAGAGCGAAAGAGAGGGAGAGAGAAAAGAAGAAAATTTAGATGGAAATGATAAAATAACTTTGATTATGCGCATTTTATCTCAATGTTATGAAAGGGTTTTTTAAAATTTTCAAAGAATTGTTACTCTATTATTATTTACTCGTTATTATTGTTGTTATCATTACTACTATGTTCACTATCACTGTTAATTATCATCACTATTTATCACCAAATTATCACTTATGCTTTTCACATCAAAAAAAAAAAAACGATAAAATTACTGCTTTTTCAAGGATTTTATTTTTTGAATATTTAATGAATTTTTGCTTCCTTTATCTTTTCGCTTTTTTGCATATTAAAATTTTGTTTTGTAAGACGAAAAATATTTGCAAATGATGATAATATGATGATAGTGATAATAATGATAATGACATTTTGCTTACATAAACTTTTTTTTTTTATTACCGATAATCAATTTCTGTCAAAAAAAAAAAAAACGAAAAAGAAAAAAGAAAGCAAAAAGTTGAGTGATTGGATAACAACAAAAGAAAGAAAAGAATAAAAAACGATCAATAATATTTGAAAAAAATATTTTTATCACAATATAATGTAGAAAGGAGTATAGTGATAAAGTTAAAAGTAAGTGATAAGAATGAACAGTTATTACAATTTCAGTAATATTTTTTTTTTTTTGAATTTTTGATTTAATAATGGGAGCATTGATTGGTGTTGATTTATTGATTGATTGATTGATTATTTGATTTATTGATTGGTTCTGTTCATGAATTGTTTGTTTTGCTTATTATATAGTTACATTAATATAAAAATATTGTTTTTCTTTCAATTTTTTTTTTACGAAACTTTGTAAAAGTATAACAATTTGATTGATTAATTTTAAAAAGTTAATTTTAAAAGGAAAATGTTGAATTTTTGATAATTGGTATATATTAAATTTAAGAAGAAAAAAATAAATAAAGTTCTATTAATTTCTGATATGTAAATTTATAAGTATTTTAATCTATGTGTTATAAAATAACTATAAGTAATTATTATTTGAGATAAACAAAAAAAGCATAATAAATTAATGTTTAATGTATGATATAATTCATAAGTTGTAAAATGTTTTTGTGTAAAATTTAAATTAATTAATTAATTAATTTGTTTTAATATTTTGCAGTTTAAAATTTTTGTAATGTATTATTGATAAATTTTCATTTTTATTAATTAATTAGCTAATTATAGATGTCAGTATGCTCACGGTGAAGGAGATAGAAAGCCAGTACAAAGGCATCGCAAATATAAAACTGAATTTTGTTTATCGTTTCATCAAGTTGGTTATTGTCCATATGGACCGAGGTGTAATTTCATTCATAATGAAGAGCAATCACAAATTGGACGTAATCAAATTAATTGGTAATTTGAAATTTTCATTATTTTATTTTACTCATTTTTAAATATTTGTTAGCGAATAAATAATAATAAATTGCATAGTTAAATAATAAATAGTTGCGAAAGAAAAAGCAAAATTTTTACAACTAATTAATTTTATACATTTAAATATTAATTACAAAGTAAAAATTAATAGCTTATTTAATTTGAACTATAATTTTAACACTTATATTAAATACATCTTTTGAAAATGAAGAAATAAATAAAATGAAACTTTGAAAAAATAAGAAAAAAGAAAGAAAGAATTAAGACGTATGAAGAAAACATATAAATTTTTTTTTTTTTTTTATTAAATCCTAAATCTCTTTTTTTTTTGATCTCTTTTTATATCTAATGAATAAGTTATTTGTTAATTTAATGACTTTACATCTAATCAGTAATTATTTGTTAGTTAACTTAATAACTTTATATCTAATCAATAATTATTTGTTAATTTAATGATTTTATAATATAATGAATAATTTACTTGTTAATTTAATCTTAAAATTCATTTTAAATACATTTAAATACATATATGCTCTTTTTTTTTTCAGCAATGGAAACAATAAGATGAATGTTAGTAATTGTAGCAGCAATAATAGTAACAATGATCTAACAGCAACAACAACAACAACAGCAACAGTAACACCAACAGCAGCAGCAGCAGGAGCAGCAACAATAACAGCTGTTACAGCAACAGCTACTACAACATTAACATTTGGTATTTGGCAACCATATTGTAATTCAATGGGTGATTCACCAGCTCCTAGTTCAGCTTGTTCCAGTACTGATAGCTCTATTGGTTCAGCAAGTCCAAGTGTAGATTTTGATGAGAATATTTGCTCTGCTATTGTTGCAACTAATGGTTGGAATACATTTGGTACCAAATTTAACAATAATAATGCAAGTTTTTTTTTTTAATTAAAAAAATCATCTATTTAATTATCATTAAGAAAAATTATTAAATGATTTTAATAATTAAAAGTGTTTTTTTTTTTTACTTTGTATAATTTATTTATTATTTGCTTTTTCTTCTTTAATTTTGAATAAGCAAATTTTTAATGATGCAAGCAAGCATTTCTTTAAAAAAAAAATTTTTTTTTTTGAGTAATATAATATTGAAAAGAACGCATTATATTTGAAGTCAAATTTAACTTTGAAGTCGTAAATTTTGAATTTTTAAAAACTAAAGATGAAAATTTTCATTTTTCCTTTTTTTTTTTCAGATGTATCATTTTAATTGGCCTTCAACAATAGCAATAGCAACAACAGCAACAACAACAACAACACCACCACCATTACCACCATCACCACCACCAGCACGAACAACAGTAACAACGACAGCAGCTGTGACGACAACAGGAACAGAGACGGTGACAGTGACAACTGCTCAAGCGTTACCACTTCAAACACAGCCAATACTTGATTCAGCACTTTTCAACGATTTACTTGAGCTAACAATTGATGAGAAGAAAACAAAGAAGAAAACAATTATCACGAAAACAGTAAGTGATAGTACTACTGTGACATGTGCATCATCCGGTCGTCTACCGGTTTTTGTTCAACTTAGTAATCCATCATCAGCATCATGGAATAAGTGGTTTGAATTATTATCTGATGAATAATTAATTACACATGCATTGTTTGTTTATTTGTTTATTTCTCTCTCTCTCATTTTCTCTTATTCATTTACTATATATCACCTTTATTTTCATGTATGTGTTTTTTTTTTTTTGCTATTGAAATTTTACTAATTGTTTTTCTTTTTCTACTCTCTTTCATTTTCTTTTCCTTTTTTTATGTAAAAATTTCATTCATTTGTTTTTTGTTGATATTATTTTTAAAATAATATCTAAATGAATTAAATTCTTAACAAATCAAAATTTTTCCTTTTTCATAAATTCAATACTTCCATACTTTCTCTTTTTGTTTTCTTTTTCTTTTTTTCCTATTAATTTGTTATTCTGTATAATATATTATCTCTTACAAAAATTTTTAAAAAAAAAAAATAACAAAAAAAAAAGATAAAAAAGCAAAAAATGAAAAAGATTTTTCATTTTTTGCTACAATTTTTTTTCCTTACTTTCTCTCTCTCTCTCTCTCTCTCTCTATTTCCCTCTCTCTCTCTCTCCGTTTCTATTTTTTTTTTTTTGAATTAATTTTTTTCTCCTTTAATACAATATTAACAATCATTTATCAATAATAGCTGCTATATTCACATTCAGAAAGCCTTACAATGTATAGTTCGAAGTTTTTTTTTTTTTTTTTTTTTTTTAATTTGAAATTTTTATAAAAATTTGCTTAATGTAAAGTAAATACATACTTCTATCGATAACTTTTATCAATAGAATTATGTATTTGTATGTGTGTGTGTGTGTGTGTGTGTGTGTGTATGCGTATGTGAGTGTATGTGTGTATGCGTATGTGAGTGTATGTAAGTATGTATGTATGTATGTATGTATTTTAGTAATTAGTAGTGATAGTAGCAGATTTTGTTTTGATTTATTTATTTATTTTTCTGTGTTTATTTACGCTCGCATTCATCTACCTGAACTCAGTGAAGCTCCCGAATGTAAATCACACTATTATTATTATTATTATTATTGCTATAATTATTTTATTATCATTACTATTGCTATTATTAATAATATCATTTACTATTATTTCTATTTCTAAATAATTATTGTTATCGCTATTATTATTATTATTACTATCATCTTATCATAATCATTGATTATTAATTATTATAGTTGTCATTATTATCATTACATTATTATTATTACTCTTACTACTGTTATTACTATTACTTTTATTATTATTATTACGATTGCTATTTTTATTCATTTTAGAATTTGTAAATTTTCATTTATTTTTATTTCGAACGAAAAAAACAACTAAAAAGAAATCCTTCCATTTTTCTTTTCTTTTTTTTTTTTTTTTTGAATGAGATAAATTTTTATAAGTGAAAATTTTTTATAAGTTTTGCAACATCTCTTTCTCATCCTAGTTTTTTCATTTTTTTTTTTTTTTTTTTTTTTGTCTTTTTTGAAAAGATTAAATTAGCTGTAAAAAGATAATGAAAAATTCTTCCTCTTCTCAAATTTATACGCAATCTTTTCTTTTCATTTTTTTTTTTTCGTTCAATTTTTTGTCCTAAATTTGAGCTTTTTTTTTGCTGTCAAAATGAAAAAAGTTGAAAATTAGTTCATCATTGATTGATTTTATTTCTTTCTTTTTTCTATTATCTTTTCAATTTCCATTATTATTATTAAAAGAAAAAGAAAGCATTGCTTTTTAGGCAAAACTTTTTTTTTTTGTTTTTTATTTTGCTCTACAAACAATAATAATAAAATAAAAAAAAAAATGAAACAAAAAGAAAACATTAATCATTGGAGAATTTCTCGTAAAAAATTGTTAAATTCTTTAAAAAAAAAAAAGAAAAAAAAATTTTCCTCTAGTTTTATTTACTATTTAAACAATTTTAGTATATAATTATTGAAAAATTTTTCACAATTTAATTATTTGCTATTATCTATTTTATTACATTAATTTTATTTTGCATAATTTGGTAAAAGTTTAACTTAATTACTTACCTTCTTTACATCTACTTAATATGCTCTACTTTCTTTCTTTGTATTAAACATTTTTCTCAAAGTTTTTTTAATGTAAATTCAGTAATAGAAATGTGAGTAACTGTTTTTTCTTATTTGTTATAAAGGGAAAAAGAGTAGTTAATAAGCATAATTAAGCATATATAATAGATTTAACTGTTTTTTAGCATTCGAAAGAAAAAAAAAATTTTAGAAATGAAATGAAAAAAACTAGAAAATGATGAATCTTTTTCTTTTTTTTTTGTTAATAATAATAATGACAATAACAATGATAATGATGATAATAATAATAATAATTGTAATAATAAAAAAATGGTGATAATAATAATGAGAATGATGAAAATGCAGTGATAACAGTAGTAATGATAATAATAACTCTGCTAACAATAATGATAGTAGTAATAATAATGATAATAATAATAATAATGCCAATAATAATGCCAATAATAATTATAATAAATAACAATAATGAATAGCGTTGCTAATAAATAACAGTGATAGAAAAGTAGCAATAATAACAGTTATAATAGTAATAATAAATAATAATAATAATAATTAGTATCGACAAAGTGCTTTCATAAATTATTCATTTCTTTTTTCCTATAATGCAAATACTGCTGAACTGATAACGAATTGATTTGTAATTCTATGCTACAAAATTGTATGGAATGCTTTTTCTTTTTTTAAAAAAAAAAGAAAAAAATGCTATTTAAATTAAGATAGTACGAATAAAAATAATATAATGAATTTCCTCTTTAATACAGAAATCAAAAAAAAAAAAAGCGATGAAAATATATTACAATAAATCTTCCTATGAATTTAATTCTACAAATAAACAAATATTTTTTTGATAGAGAAGAAAAGGAACGAATAAGTTGCAAATTTAAAATTGAAACTAATTGTATTTTTCTTTAATCATTTAAATTTTGATAAAATTAAAATTTTAAAAAGAGAAAGAAAAAACAAAATTTGACAAAAAGTTTTGTTTTCTTTATTACTTTACTTTTTTTTTATCTTTTTAAATGGCATTCCATATTTCACTGATAAGCAGAATATTTAATCATTCCTTTTATCAGTGTATTTTTTACCTTTTTATCTTCACTTCCTACTCTTACTTATGTTTTTTATCTTTCATATGCGCAACAAATGAAAATATTTCAAGCATTTCCTTTAATTGATAACTTTATCACTATTCCATATCACTGATAATAACTTAGCAAAAAAAAGTGAATTACTATGCGTTTTGTTTTTATTTTTCTTTTTCCAGGAAATCAATTGGGAATTTCATTTATATTTTCAGGTGGATAATAAGTGCCAGATTTCAGGTTTTCCTTCTTTTAAAACGGACCTCACTTCGTAAAAATTCGTAATTATTCATAAATTTCTCTGTCCTTTGCTCTCTCTCTCTCCCTTTCTCTCTTTTAAAAGTGCATAATATCAATGAAACTTTTATTATTATTTTTTTATTCGTTCTTTTTTCTTCTTTTTCTTCATTTCATTGAAAAAAAAAAAAAAAAGAATTTTCAGAAATATTTTACTTCCATAATTACTAATTTTTTCTTCTTTTTATTTTTGTTGTATTTGTAATATTTATAAAAAATTTTAATAATTTTAAATATGAAATGGTATCATTCTCTTGCTATATGTATATATAATGTGAAATTTAAAAAAGACAAAAAAATTTCTCTCAATTTTTTTCTTTTTTTTTTATTTTCCCGGTTATTATAATCATTGATCCGATGTATTTGCTCTTTCATTAATGTCATTTTCTTGTTTTTGATTCACTTTTTCAGGACATATTATCATTATCATTGTTATTATCACTATCATTACTATCATTTTATCATTATCACTATCACTATTACTATTGTCAATTATCATTTTTATCATAATTACTATCACTATTGTCATTATCATTTTTATTATTAGTATTGTTATTATTACTAATCTTATTATTATTATTATTATCACTATCACTATTACCATTATTATTATTACGATTATTATTACCATTACTATATTATGCGTTTGTAAGAATATCTCAAATTTTAGTTAATTATACTTGACTTCATACATAATTATTTTTCATTATCATCGAATTTTAATTATTACTAATCAATCTATATGTTACGTACGTATGTGTGTATGCGTGTATGTGTGTGCGTACGTGTATGTACGCTTATGTTTTGTTTTCATTATTTTCATCTGTTTTTTTCTTCAAAAAAAAAAAAAAAAAAAACAAACAAACAAAATGTCATGCATATATATATTTTGTGTGTGTACTTTTTTTTGTTGCCTTAATTTATTACCTTTTTTTTTTGAATTTAATTGCATATTTTTAATTTCTAATATTTTTCCTTTTTTTATTCGTTTTGCAAAATTCATTCATTTGTCATTCATACATAGAAATAAACAAAGAAAAAGTTTGATAATGTATTTTAAATTTATAGAAAAAAAAATTTTTTTTCTCATTTTTTTTCATATTGTCAATTTGGAAAACAAAAAATGTTTGAAATTTGAAATTTGCTATGCATTAATCTTGATGGTATTATTTTTCTGTAAACAATAAAAAAAAGAAATTTATCGATTAAGAAGCTAATAATAATAATTATTAAGAAATTATGAAGTAAACAATATTAGGCATATATAATTAGCATAAATAAATGGCAGTAATCTAATACCTGTTAATAAGCTAATTTGAATAGAATTTAGGTAATATTTGTTGATAATTAATTTAAAAGAAGAAAAAGGAATAAAGTGGTTGTAATTTTTTAAGATAGAAATTATTAGTTAATTATTTATTGTAGTTTTAATTTAATATTGTTTACAAAATGTTACCATCAAATTACTTTTTCCTTTTTTTCATTATGAAAATTTAATTACAAATTATGATCACTTTTGTACAGTATGGTAATTATCATTTTTTTCTTTTTGTTTATTTGTTTACTTTTAGCTTTTCCTTTTCAAATAGATTCGCTTAGTATTTTTTTTTAATTTCTTCATATCTCTCTGTC